CAGTTAAACCATTTCACAATAAATAGCTATTACATGTACAGTTGAAGTCAAAAGTGTCTCTCTTCCCTTAAAATGGATGTTTAAGTGGTGTAAAAGTCCTCTTACTGAGAAGGGAGCTCCTTCTTCGGATGTGGTTGATCCAGGCACTAGGTCCAGGTCTGGAAAGCTTGTTCAGCTCATGATGGATTGCAATCATTGCATTCTTCCTTAGACCTGATAGTAATAAAAAGATAAATATATACATCTGAATAAATAGTGGCATATATTACAAATATTTCAGAAAACTCTGGATTCCTGAATCAGCTCCTTACCTGTCATGTTTCTCATGTGCCTGTAGGAAATGCCAGCACACAGTTTGAACGTTGCAGGCAACATTTTAAAAGTTTTTTCAATAGATGAATGAGTGACTACACGTGAAATGTGGGCACGGCGAGTTAGAAGTGGAATCTGAGGAACAGTTGGCTGCTTCGGCCCCTTTATAGCCCCATCAGACAAGGCCATGTTCTCGTCACCTCACAGATAAAACAGCACCATCACTCAACGCACAGGGGTGACCCTGTATGTCAAGGATGTGCAGTGAACACGACGGCCTATCTGTTACCAATATAAACACGTTGTTACAGATAACAGCCAGTGCCTGAAGACTACCCACACAGAACACCGGTTAGTACACTCAAGTTGCCTGCATTTCTTTCTTTCTTTTTCCAGTCAAAACAAACAGTACAGAGCAGCTAAACTTATCTACAGATATATTTTAGGATGTGATAAGCCAGAAACTCTCAGTATGTCACATATGTCATTCTCTTCTGGTTCCATTACAGCTTTAGGTCAGGAGGTAAAGTTTACAATGTGACAAATCACTAGCCAGAAATGCCCAGTATCATCATCACCATAACTCCAAGAGGTCGAATTAAAATTACATCATTACTTGGTGACATCCAAAAAAAAAAAAGAGGCAATTAGTGGCTTCTCCAAAAAATAAACCACTTTTGTGGACTTTTATTGTACAAATTTTAGAATTCAATCTTGTTAGTTGACAGTACAGGCTGTATTCTGCAAATCATATTCTGCCACACAAACCCATATCAAAGCTGCAACAAATCAATTCTCCATCAATGACAACAATAAGCGGCCAGTGTGACAGCCTTGGACTCTGCGCCAATGGAAACTTTTCTAGTTGTATGAAAATATTGGTTTAATGACTCGTGGTTTTCAGTTTGACGTAAAATCAACTCGTTCAAGAACATTTAAGCAATGGAAAGTGGCTTTATGAGTAAAAGTACCTTAACCCACAACCCCGTGGCCCTCAGAGTAATTTATACTTTAGGCCTTAACCTTTATCAGACCACCCTCAAGTGGCGCACATGCAGGTTGCCAGATTGATGACACCAACAGGAACGAGCGCACTTGACGATGAATGAAATGAAATACACTGTGTTTGCCGCCAACTGGCAACCCGGGGTGCCGAAATACAATTGGGTAAACTGGCAGTGGGCGGGTTTCACAAACCAAAACAGAGACTGACATTCCGGTGTAGTGCCGAAATTTGCACCCTGCCAGATTATGCACCCCCTAGTATTGGTAGGTTTAGGTTTAGGA